CTGCCCCGGAGCAGTGCAGAGCTGCGGCTGCTCCCCGCCTCTAGGAGCAGGGGGACGGCTGACAAAGGTTGGAATAAAAATATGCAGTGACAAGTGCACCAAAAAAAAAAGGACAGGCGGAGCAGGACGTGGGCCTGCCTCTGGCTGGGGAAGGGAGTGGGAGAAGATCCCTGCTGGAGGGGGTCAGCATCAGGAGTTAACCTGAGTCGCTGTCATCAGCCAGTCACGCTCTGAGGTTTCCCGATCCGGGAAGGGAGGCGTTAAATATAGGGGAACTGGGAGCTAAAGGAAGGTGGCGTCTGCCTGGGCCGTTGTGGGTCAGGACTTGTATTGCACCAGTGTAATGCCTTGGGGGGGGGGCTGCAGTGTGCAGGGTGAGAGAGTCCCTGCCCCAGTGAGCTCGCAGACCCGACAGAGCAGGGCAGGGAGTTGCCCACGGTTGTGCCAAGCCAGGGGTAGAACCCGCGGTTTCTGAGGCCCCGTCCAGTGCCGTACCCATGGGACCGTCCTGCGATGAGCTCCCCTCTATGCCTCCCTGGGAGAGGGTCACGCCCTGCAGGGTGATTGCTGCCTGCCTCTGTGGCAGGGGCCGTGCAGTGCTGCTGAGGAAGGCCTTGCCCGGGCCCGGCTGAGGACACGAAACTTCCAGGGATGCCCGCTGTGCGTCACAAGGACGGCCCACCTAGCCCAGTGTCCTGTCTTCCGACAGTGGCTGGAGCCAGGTGCTTCAGAGGGAACGAACAGAACAGGGCAATCGTTGAGCAATCCAGCCCCAGCTTCTGTCAGTCAGAGGCTTCGGGACGCTGAGCATGGCCTGGTGTCCCTGACCATCTTGGCTAATAGCCATTGATGGACCTATCCTCCAGGAACGGGTCTAATTCTTTGCTGAGCCCAGTTATACCTGTGGCCTTCAGGGCATCCCCTGGCAATGAGTTCCGCAGGTTGGTTGAGCGTTCGGTGAAGCTGTACGTTCTGCGGTGTGGATTGCATGCCATGCGCTCCTCTCTCTTTTCTTCGATAGGTTCTGGTCACTGGGGCAGTGCCAAGTCCTTGCCCGGTGGAGGGCAGGGAGCCTGTGTTGATAACATGCCAGGAGCCTGGGGCCTGCCCCGATTGGCCCTGCGTGGGAATGAATCACAGCTGCCCACATCTGGACCATGGAGGTTTGACCCTGGCAGACATAGCATGCAACCCTCAATCCGCTGCTCCGCTCAAGCTGGAGCGCTGCATGCTGGGACCTGTCGTCTCTCTGTGACCCACCCCCTGGTAAAGATGGCCCCGATCAGTGGGGGCCTGTGCTTGAATCACCATGTTGAGGCCCTCACGTAAGCTGGAATGTCTGTGATGGCTGTCGTGGGCCAGCCCATCTATAGGGGAATTACAGCTCTGGAAATGGAGAGCCCTGGGCGGGGAGGCACTGGCACTGTTCGTTAGGACTGCAGGAGTAATTGCCCGTTACGGAGAGAAATGATTCCTGCTGGTGCATTCTCCCTTTCCGCTCAGGCGGAGAACTCCTTAACAAAGAGCCCTGCAGCGTGGCTTTCCCCAGCAGCCTCCTCCCGCGCTCTGGCCTGCATTAGCTGGAGTAATCGAAGCCAGCCTCTTAGATTCGATCGGGCTTGGCAGGCAAGCGGGGCCGCTAACGACCCTGGAGCCCTCGGTGCTGGGAAATGGCTGGGCAGGCGGAGGGGGTGCAGTAGCAGGGTCTGCAACTTGTTAGCGTGTGTTTAGTTCCCACAGCACTGCAGGGAGGGGCGGGGGGAGAACCGCAGGGAGGGGGGGCCCATGTGGCTGACACCGGAAGGTTCAGCTCCATGGAACCCCGGCCCATCTGGGCTTGGAAGCTCAATCCACGATTCTCCCCCAGGACTCGTTTCAGGCTGCAGTTGAATGATAGTTTAAAGAGAGATGAGGCGGCTGCGGTAACCTCTCTCGTATCCTGGGACCAGCACGGCTGTCCCGAGGCCACACACTGCACTGGGGGATGTTTTGGGCCCTTTCTCCTTTCAGCCACATAACGACAGTTTCATGAAAGGCTCCAGGGCTGCGGAGCCCCCTGGAACTGGCGCCATGTTGTGGTTCCGGGAAACACGGCGGTGGAATACGAGCGACGCGCTGACGATGCTCTGGCTCCGTATCTCCTCCCTGGCTGGCCCCACGCTGGGTGGGAGGTGAGAGCTCCGCAGGACCAAAAATCTGGGGCGGGAAGTCCCTGGTGGAAAGGGACAGCAAGAGTCACACCCTAACGCACCCCCTGCCGGGCGGGGAACAGACTGGCCCTGCTTCATGGGTGGGGAAACTGAGGCAGAGCTGCGCAGAGTCAGTGTTGGGTCTGGGGCTGTGCGTCTCTTCCCCTCGATCCAGGAGGGGGTTCGCTGTGTGACCAGCCATTTACACTGGAACTGTTGCAAATGTGAGCCACCGTTAGTGTAAAGATTGTTGTGTGGATCTCTCTCTCTCTCACACACACACACACACACACACACACACACACATACACACACACACACACACAGTCTCTCTCTGTCATGGGGGAAGATGGATGAGTGGCGCTGGGTCTACGTCCCTTTCACTAGAAACCCATTCTTGCCCTGTCCAGCCCTGTAATGAACGAGGCCTCTATTGTTAATGTGTCATGTGCTCCCTGAATTATGGGACCACTTTGCCCTTCTTCAAATTCAGTGACCCGCTCCCTGCTTTATGGCTTCAACAGCCTGCACAGAGGGGCCTGAGACGCCACTTAATCAAAATGTGGAATACTGAAAAGGTCACGGCAGGCCACTGCGCTTCAGGGGGATGATACAAGCCATTAAGATGTCAATCGATCTCTTTAATGGCAACCTGTAACTAGCCAGGAAGCAGCCCCACGCTCTAACCGACTTGTAGCACGAACGAGAGGCAATTCAACCAGATACGCCCTCCTCTCCAGGCATCCTTCGGGAAGTCTGGAGCCCGATTCTTGGAGCACTCTAGCTGGTGGATTGCATGCTGTCTGTGGCAGGGACTGCGCCACTGTCTGTCTTGCAGGGTGATTAGCGTGCTGGAGGCGCTTAATACGTGCTTGCTGTTTTGGAGAATCCTTAGCGCCTGGTGAAAGGAGACACCCCTTCAAGTGGGGACAGTCCCGCCTTGGGTCACGCGGGGGGGGCAGGAAGGCGGGGGAGCGGGAGCCAGTGGATGTGCTCTTGCCCCCTAGTTACTGTGTGTTTCCCTGCTGTCTGGTCTGTCCCAGACAGGCTGCTCCTCCACTAACCCACCCCCTGCCCTGGCAAATGTTGCTCTAGAACCAGCCCCAACCATCTGCGAGCAGAACCTCGATTTTGTGAGCCCCACGCTTACAGGTGCCCATCTCTCCCAATCGTTTCTCCTGACCAGGACTGGGGTGGGGAATCCCGTAACAGCGACATTGATGGAGAACAGGGCGTCATCCCTTCGCGTTCCGTGCGCTGGCCGTGGCTTCGCCGTGGTCGATGGGCAGGAGAGCAGCGACGCAGCGCACCGGCTGGAACTCAGGGATGTTCTGTTTTGTGACTGTCGATTTTTTATGAACTTCTCAATCCCCCATTAGTTTGTAAAAGAGGGGTTCTGCCGTACGTGACCCAGTAAGAATGCCTCATGCGGGATGGGCCGGGAATGGGTCCTGCTGGCCTCCATCTAGAAGATAGGTCTTGGTTAGGTCCCGTGACAGTGACCTGCCCTCTGGATTTGGTAAATTTGCTGGACAGGAAGCTAGCAGATGCACTGGCTGGGGGCAGTTATGCTCGTGGTATTGTCTGGTCACGTGTTAGCTTTCACTTGCGTCAACTCTGGCTCTCATCGGATTCACTCTTTTCCTGCTGTTGCTTGTGGTATTAATGCAGCCGCTAATGGAGAGGAGCAGGGGGAGTCCGGGGGGGAGGAACAAGCAACAGGAACAGCTGAGCCGGAGAGCCTGGGACAGGAGATGCAGGTGGCGTTGCTCTGGGATGGGGGAGATCCCATGCATCTGGCGCTGCCTTCCCCAATGTCGAATGGGGGGTGAGGGTCATCGGCTCGTGCGTCTCACTCGATGTCGAATGGAGACCGCTGAGGGCAGAGATTGGTCGGAGGCTCTTGTGCCTTCAACGTGGCAGGCCTTAGATCAGAACCAGACCCCCTGAACTGGCAGCTCGCAAACCAGGGGAGCCAGAGGCTCCATGTGTGAAACAGGCGCGCCTTGCGCGGCACATCCTGCGCTGGCTGAAGATGGAACGATGTGCCGAGCCCATCGCAGCAGCCCGGGCTGCAGGGGGTGTGTAGGGAGCAGGGGCTGTGGCTGCAGGGGGGTTCGTTCCTACGCGGGGGGGTGAGATACGTTGCATGCAGGAACTGAGCAGGGTGCCGTGCTCGGTACTGTCTTCCTCGCTCTCTGGCGGAGATGTCTGCGGGGAGGGCCCAGGCGGGCGATTTGAGCAAGTGCCCAAGAGCAGTTCAGCTGTCTTGCTGCCTGCCAGGTGGATAAATATCTGTAAGGGAAGGTGACCTCCCGTGGGGGGACCCATGTCTTGGGGCCTGGCTCAGGAGGAGATGCTCCTGACTCTGGAGCGGGGGCCATGGTGCTGGCTCTTGGGGTAGCCGGGCAGGGAAGATAACCAGTGTCTGGGGTTCATGTGTTTGCCTGCTGCCTCTCATGCTGGCTGCGGCGCCCCCTTGTAACGGGGTGACCGGTAAATCGCCCGCCAGGTGTGAGTAGGCACCTTGGGGCGCATTCCTGGCTTTGTGCCTGGGCTCTTCAGTGTCTGTGTCTGGCCGCACTTTTCCACCTCCCCGGCCCTGGCTTGGGAGCAGTTATTCTTGACTCCATGGTGAGCACCTGGAAACAGAGCCAGGCGACTGGAGGGAAAGGCCAGTTGTCACTGTTTGCGTGACGTGCTCGGGACGGCAGTTCGGCTGCCGTGCTCAGCTGGGCCACCAGCTGGTCTGGGACGCGGGGAGCAAGACTTCGGCATGTGGCACATCCACTGAGCAAGGGAAAGCTGCTTCCTGGGCAGCCAGCGCTTGCGTAGCATGGAGCTTCAGCGCAAGGCGTAGCCGTTTAGGGTGTGTCTGCACTGCAGACAGGGCGGTTCTGAACTCGGGTTCAAATAGCAGCACATACACCACAATGGCTTTTAGCTCCAGGTAGCCGCTCCAGCTCCACCTCCGGCTGCCTTACAGGTTTGAACTCGAGCTGCTAACCTGAGTCGAGAGCACCCTTTTTTTTCCCAAGTTACTCCTGTTTTTCCTGCGCCACTGCACATCCGCAGAATGTATGTCCCCCGCAGATTTCTTTGCTTCCCTGCAGAAAAATGACTTTCTGACAGGGAAGCCCCAGGAGTGGTCATGCGACCCTCCCCAGCCGTATGTTTCAGGTGCCCAGAGCAGCCAGCAGAGAGGTATATCACTGTGGGGCAGGGGGTGAGACTGGAGACGACTCGGCTGGTGGCTCCTACCCTGTGCCAGGCTCAGCTGCTAGTCCCAGCTAGACTAGGGAGGACAGAACTTCCTTGTTCCCTGCACAGCATCGGGGGCTGGGTCAGACCCACCCCCAGATTTCTCCCCCAGCTGCGGGAATCTCTGCAAACACCCCACCCCACATATACACACACTGCTTCCTGCACCCATCGCACCGCAGCTGCAGGGAGAGGGATCCCTGTACAGGGAACTGCTCCTCCATCCGCCCAACCCCTGTGCATCCAGACCCCCTCATGCTCAGTCCCTCCCACCGAGCCTCACCCCCCGATGAGCCCCACTCCCCCTGCACCTGGACCACCCTGACGAGCCCCAACCACCTTCACCTGGACCCCCTGCAGAGTCCCATTACTGTTGCACCCAGAACCCCCAACAAGCCCCTGTGCATCCAGATCCCCCCGCACCTGACTCGCCCATTGAGCTGCCCGCACCCAGATTGCCCCGCACAGAACTGTCTCGCCCCACACTAAGCCCCTCCACACCTGGATCCTGCCTTGCTGAGCCTGCCTGCCCACACCTGGCATGGAGGGGCAGGGCTCTGGGTGTTTCTGGGGCAGGCCCGGTCCTTGAGCCGTGTCAGGGTTGGGTGCAGCTTCACCGCTGAGTCCGTGTCCTGGAGGGGGGGGGGGGAGCTGCAGAGTGATCTCCCACCTCTGTGCAACCAGTGGCCTGTGCTCCCCAATGCCATGCTGGAGCCTCCACATTGATTTGACAAATAAAACTTGTAGAATTTTAAAATATTGTGCACAGAATTTTTAATATTTTGGCACAGAATTCCCTCAGGAGTATGCAGTGTAACTGTACCTGTACGCTGTGAGAAGAGACCGGGAGAAGTTGACAGGAAAGGAAAGGACAAGTTAAAAATTACTTAGACAAGGCCTGATGAAACCCATCCTAGAATACTTAAGGCGCTGACTGAGGAGATCTCTGAGCCATTAGCGATTATCTTCGCAAACTTCTGGAAGATGGGAGAGATTCCAGAGGACTTTAAGAAGGCAAATAGTGCCAATCTATAAGAAGGGGGATAAAGAAACTCCCGGGGAATTAGACAGGCCAGCTTAACTTCAGTACCTGGAAAGATAATGGAGCAAATAATCAAGCAATCAATTTGCAAACACCTAGAAGAGAATAAGGTGATAAGTAGCAGCACGGATTTGTCAAGAACAAATCATGTCAAACCAACTGGATAGCTTTCTTTGACAGGGTAACAAGTTTTGTGACTAGAGGGGTAGTGTAGAGGTGGTATATCTTGACTTAAGTAAGGCTTTGGGTACTGTCTTGCATGATCTTCTCATAAACAAACTAGGGAAATACAGTCTAGACGGAGCTACAAGGTGGGTGCAAAACTGGTTGGAAAACTGTTCCCAGAGAGTAGTTATCAGTGGTTCACAGTCAGACTGGAAGGGCATATCAAGGGGTCCTGCAGGGATCAGTTCTGGGTCCGGTTCTGTTCAATATCTTCATCAATGATTTAGATACTGGCATAGAGCAAACACTTATAAAGTTTGCGGACAATACTAAGCTGGGAGGGGTTGCAATTGCTTTGGAGGACAGGATTAAAATTCAAAATGATCTGGACAAACTGGAGAAATGGTCTGAAGTAAATAGGATGAAATTCAATCAGGACAAATGCATTTAGGAATGAACAATCAGTTGCACACATACAAATGGGAAATGACTGCCTAGGAAGGAGTACTGCGGAAAGGGATCTGGGGGTCAGAGTGGATCACAAGCTAAATATGAGTCAACAGTGTAACGCTGTTGCAGAAAAAGCGAACATCATTCTGGGATGTATTAGCAGAAGTGTTGTAGGCCAGACACGAGAAGTAATTCTTCCGCTCTACTCTGCGCTGATTAGGCCTCAGCTGGAGTATTGTGTCCAGTTCTGGGCACCG